ACTGGTACTGGGTTCGAGTCACGAAATCGAAATCAACTCTGAAACATTACCAAGTTGATCCAGTCAAATATGAGTTTTAAATAGAATGATACTTGCATCCTGAATTCCACAACTGACTACCGTTCATATATGCGAAATGAATCAATGGTTTAATGAAAATTATTTAATTATGCTAAAATTTTCAGTCTATCGATCAATAACGAAGTTGCATACGGGTTGGTCATAATGTCGTGGGAGCGTGACCGCAGAACGCAAGGAACAACATCTTCAGGCCTGTCACGCATGACCTACTTATAGGAAGTTTACGAAACTTTAGCTCTGCTCTTGTTTAAAAGCTCTTACCACCGGAGACGAAAATCTGTGAGGTAAGGTGAGGTGTGACCTTCTTAGGGTTGACCTTTTCTAACCCCTTCCTTCCCTGCTGGTTGTCCGAGGGAAACACCTCACTGCTGTCATACCCCTCTGAAGTCAACAACATTACGACTTCGCCCTCAGAGCTTGAGTAGCTGCTTTTAGTCTCATCGTTCTCCGATCGACCTGCCTGTTAAGGTAAAACCTACAGGAACCTATGTTCCAGACAATAGAGCTTGGTTAGGTCATCACGATAAGCAGGACCGATCACCAAGACGAAGCAACACCTACGGTCGCCAAAATTGTGTACAGACAATCACTATACATTCCAAAGTATAACCTAAATGTATTTCAGTTTAAAAATAGTTTTATTGTCAAAAAACTGGGTAACATAATTAGGAGAAAATAAAAAAGTACACTTGAACAGTTGTTTAACAAATTAAAATTCTAACTAAAAGCAATTAGTCCTTTTTTATATAAATTAGGTATCTATGTAAAATGTGTGACGTGATTTCTTAATTTAGAAAATTGTGCAAAATGTGTAAAAATGTATGAATTATTCACTGGACGGCCATTTCGTCCCGGAATAGTCAGTCAGTCAGTCAGATGCAACGTAGAACTTCGTACGTAAGTACATCAGTTCATGTCGCCATACCACAATAGCACAGACAGATCTAATTGTCAATTCAAATCCAATAGTAGAAGAGGTAGTAAAGTTTTATTCGAAGTAATCGGAGAGGTTAGGATTAGAAGATATTATTCAAGAAGTATGATTCAGTGACAAAAGTTTAGAAAGTCAAAACTAGAGTTGTTGAAGAACCCAGAAGATTAGGATTTGAGAGAACTCAAAGAATAAATGCGCTGGCGCCATTGCAAACGATTTTGAGCCATGTCATTCAGGGTATCTAACCATCGATTATTATCATCTCGCGGGCCCCAACCAAGTGTAGTCGACAATTACAGACATGGCTAAGTCCACTCACCAATGACTTCATGGATTTCTGCCATGTTTTGGTTTGGCCGCCCCTAACTTTCTTCCAACCTATTCCTACATTACAAAACAAAGTTCGACGACGCAGTCGGTGGTTGGGCATACGCAACACATATCCCAACCACCTCAACTGACGAAGTTTCACCACTTCATCTATTGATCTGCCATTCTTACCTAGCACCCGATTTCTAATAACAGCGTTGCTCAATCGGGTGTCCCACGATATACGAGCAATGCTTCGAAGATACCTATGATCGAAAACCAGTAACCTACGAATATCTTCTACTCTCACTGGCCATGTTTCACAGTCATAAAGTAAGACGGAGCGAACTACTGCGTAGTACACTCGTCCTTTAGTCAGCAAACGGATATCTCGCCTACGCCATAAGTGACGCAGGTTGACAAAAGACAATCGAGCCTTTTGTATCCGAGCTGAGATTTCGTCAGTCACCAGGCCATCAGCACTGATGAGAATCCCAAGATAAGTGAAGCGATCAACACGCTCGACTACTTCACTCCATATCACTATTTCAGGGGCCGATGAAACCCAATCTCGAAGCACCATTTTGCATTTCGACGGAGAAAACCGCATCCCGAACATGCTTACACTGTTGCTGAGGGTGGTCAGAAGACTCTGTATTTTGTCAGCGTCTTCACCAAGTGGTACTATGTCATCGGCATATTCTAAGTCAATAAGTGAGCCACCTGGTAGAAGGTCTATTCCTGAAAATTCAGACGAAAATAAGACTCATCATGGGCAGTACGCATCCACATCTCCTGCTACTTGCAGAATTCGAACCCAGAATCTTCGATCTTGTGCATGAACGTCTTACCTCTGGACCACTGAGCTGGCGGCATCCAACGGTGTTCATATCTAACTCAGCGCGAAATTCCTAGATTGATGAGAACTGGACATTAAGATCATTTTATGCCTGCTCAGTTTTCTTGAGGCTAGACGGTTCACGTACAAGACCGAGGATTCCAGATTCGAATCCTGCCAGTAGTGAGAGTTGTGTATGCGCACTGCGACTGATGAGTCCCATACCAGGACGAAACGGCCATTTAGTGCTTCCAGATTTCGAATGCTTGTTGCACGATGATAGATAATATTATTTTGATAAAAGAAAATTGAAATCAATATTTTCAATTGTAAGTTTTTTCGATTTTATTTTATTTTATGTAACTGACATTTTATCCAAAAAACACAAATGTACTTTAAAATGTAAAGTAACATTTGAAATTCGAAACATTTGTTTCAATTGATTCATATAAATCCGAATGAAATTAATTAATTAATTAAATTGACTTGATTATTTTTTGGACAAGGTTATATTTCAGTTGGAATACTAAGTTTGTAGGTTACAACTAGTAGCTGTCAAAGAATGTTAACAAGAATGTTAACAAGTCATACTTTTCCCAAAGAAAATAAGTGTATCCTAACTCATTTAAGATCATGCAGAATAAACTGTAGCAGATAAGAATTAATGGCAACGAAAAACACTGTTTTTCTGGTTAGCGTTTTTTTGGCAAGTTAGTTTTTGACGGGATGGAGTCGAAAAAGCCATGCCCAACCCTCTTGCTTTATCCGGGCTTGGGGCCGGTAGTAGCCCCTAAGGTTCTACTGGCGGAGCCATCATCCAGCAGATACAAGTGTTTATTAACAGTTGTCTACGCAAAATACTTCCGATTCGTTGACCAGACAGTATCAGCAAAAACTAACTGTGGGAGAAAACAAACCAGATTCCAGGGGAGGAGGAAATCAGGAAGAAGTGGTGGAAGTGGATAGGACACACACTACGAAAAGCACCTAACTGTGTCACGAGACAAGCCCTCACATGGAACCCTCAAGGCAAAAGGAAAAGAGGAAGGTCAAGGAATACATTACCCCGAGAAATAGAGAAAGATATGAGAGGAATGAACAAACATTCAACAGAACTGGATAGGGATGCCGAGGACAGAGTTGGTTGGCGAGAATTGTTGGGCGGCCTATGCTCCATTGGGGGGTAACAGGCGAAAGTAAGGAAGTAAGTAAGTGAAAACAATGTTGGGTTTACTATTTTATCCTTGATTGAAATCAAGAATTGATTAATGTCAAAGCATCACTGGAAATCTGGAAGCACTAGGCAGCTGTAACGATTTGACATGCAGTTTATCAGAACCGCACTGCATATCTGCGACTCGGCACGCGAAACCGAATCCGACATTTTCAGTTTTCGAAAAGAGAACGCCTAATATCTTGACTATTGAGCCTTATACTTGATAGAGATTGTTCAAAAGCCGAAACATATATTTCCTTATGAAATTAAATGATCAACATTTTCCTACGAAGTGCAGGAATTTTGGATTCACACTAACGCTGGTAAGTCCCATACCAGGACTAAACGGCCGTCTAGTGCTTCCACGTTTCTAATGGTGGCCTAACAACGATTGATCGATGATTTCAAAAGTGTAAAAAAGAACACTAATCTCCATAATTCTAAATGAAGCATAGACATTATTTGGAGTCCTCCTTCTGCTAACTGATATCTGTACACGAGTGAGCTCGCTCAGTACCTTGAAATGATTAAAGTTAGACATTAACACCGTTGGATGTCAGTCAGCTCAGTGATCTGGATGACAATCGTCTACGCGCAAGATTGTGAAGGTCGCCGAGAGTTGGTTGTCGTAGATGCGCACAGATGATGAGTCCCTTGATTGGACAAAATGGCCGTTCAATGTTTTCAGGTTTCTGAAGATCGTCTAACAATGATAGATTCACGATTTCAAGGAAAATCAACATTCTCTACAAAATAAAACTGTTTATTCTTAAATTAAGTGATTTGTTGAAAAAGATCATTGTGAAAATTTTTTTAAATGTGTCTTTCAAAATTATGAAAACATCGGCTTTCTCAGCAATGTATAAGTTCAAAACATTAAGCTCATAAATACCTGAATGACTATGGAACCATTTAAACACTAGGCCTTTAGTTCGATAACAATACGCGTCTATTTAACTTCAGTTATTTCAAAGCCTATACTAAAGTCAGAATTTTCAAAACAAATTTCAGGATGGTTCTATTAGATCAATTGACAACTTAAAGAATCATGACAGTCATCATCATCGAAAACACACAGGTGCTTATCAACAGTTGTCTACGCAAATTAGTAATGATCCGTTAGTCAGACAACATCAGTAACAACCAACCAGATGCCAGATGAGGAACCAATCAGGAAAACGTCCTGGAGATGTATAAGACATACATTGTACAAATCATACAAATGTGTCACATGACAAACCCACACTTACAATCCACAAGGTCAAAGAAAGAGTGGTACACCAAACAACTCACTACACCAGGAATCAGAGGCAGGCATGCAAAGAACGTGTAACAATCGGATAGAACTGGAAACAAAATGTTCAGGACAGCGTTGCTTGAAGGATTTCTGATCAACGACCCATGTGGTCCATTAGGATAAAAATAGGTGTAAACGAATTCAGTAACAATAACCATCGTGTTTTTTTTAAATTACTGTTGGTTATTTCAAGATTCAATTCCTCAATCACAACTTCAAATATTCATTTTAAAAAAAAAGGTTAATGTTTCTTTGAATTATTATTACTATCAAAATATTTTAGAAATTATGTTTAAATGATTTTATTTTTTTTTGCTTCACTTACTTTTACTACATCAATATTCATGCATTCATTGCAATGATCCTTCGTGTTCAGTTCATTTGAATTGGCGGCGGTCTTTTTTCGTTTTAAATTTCGCATTGAATGTTGATCATTTTCAGCAGTTATCATTGTTCCTCAATCAAAATGCAAAACCAAACAAGTATTGATTACTTTTTTGAAACTAACTGTCTGACAATAGACATAGATCACTGTACACACATTGTACACAATGTTTAGCGTGAAAACAATTTGGGAAATAGATATTCCTCGCTAGTAGTCATTGATCGATTACCACCACTATCCACAATCAGTTTGTGTGTGTGTAATCGATAGTAAGAAATGTTGAATTATTAATTATTTCATTAATTCATGTTTTCATCATGCGTTTTAATCAAAAATGAACATCATCACCAGTAATGGTGTCACAATGAACAAATATCCTTATTATTATAAGTAGTAATATCATTATTACTGACGATATAAATATCAATGTCTGTATCACTTAGTGTTTTAAGTACAGAAAAAATAAAGCCTTTATTTCTCTCTCTTATCTATCAAATTTTACTACTGGCAGTAGTTGAAATGTTTCTCTCACTATCGTGATGAATTTTCATTGGTTCATTGTGAATCTAATTAATGAAACATTCTATTGACTGATATATATATATATATATATATATATATATTTATATATATATATATATATATATATATATATATATATAGATAGATAAGTAAGATGTAATTATCTCTATTTTTTAATTGTTACCTAGAAAAAAATATATGTAACTTGTTCTTACTTACTTACTTACTTACTTACTGAAGCCTTTTACCCCCAATGGAGCATAGGCCGACCACCAGTTTTCTCCAGCCAACTCTGTCCTCGGCTTCCCTCTCCAGTTCTGTCCAATTTTTGTTCATTCCTCTCATATCTTTCTCTATTTCTCGGCGTAATCTGTTCCTTGGCTTTTCTCTTTTCCTTTTGCCTTGAGGGTTCCATGTGAGTGCTTGTCTCGTGACGCAGTTAGGTGCTTTTCGTAGTGTGTGTCCTATCCACCAACTCCACCGCTTCTTTCTGATTTCCTCCTCCACTGGAATCTGGTTTGTTCTCTCCCACAGTTCGTTGTTACTGATGGTGTCTGGCCAACGAATCCGAAGTATTTTGCGTAGACAACTGTTAACAAACACTTGTATCTTCTGGATGATGGCTTTGGTAGTTCTCCAAGTTTCCACTCCATACAGTAGAACTGTCTTGACATTTGTATTAAAAATCCTGATTTTGGTTTTGTTTGAAAGTTGTTTGGAGTTGCAGATATTTTTCAATTGTAGAAATGCAGCCCTTGCTTTGCTAATCCGCGCCCTCACATCTGCATCTGATCCACCTTTCTCGTCGATGATGCTGCCAAGATATGTAAAGGTGAAAATGTCCTCCAAAGCATCTCCATCAAGCATGATTTGATTGGTGCATGTTGTGTTGTATCGTAGAATCTTACTTTTTCCTTTATGTATGTTGAGACCTACTGCTGCAGAGGCTGCTGCTAAACTGGTCGTCTTCTCTTCCATTTGTTGTTGCGTGTGAGATAGAAGAGCCAGGTCATCTGCGAAGTCCAAATCGTCCAGCTGCGTCCTAACTCTCCAGTTGATACCATGCTTCCCTCCAGATGTCGACGTCTTCGTAATTTGTTCTTACTGTTGAATTTAAAATTTGAACGTCGATCCATGTTAGATCATCATTAGAAAGAAACGCGTGGAAACACTGAAGGGTCGTTTCGTCCTTGCATGGGACTCATCTACAGTACACATCTCTGACCACTGCCTGCCGTAATCGATCTTGAGCACAAATGCCAAACCTTTGAGTCACCCCGTTCGGGTATGAAGCATTAATCACCGAAGTCAGTGAATGAGGTTGCGCGAGAGCGTGGATTGATCGGGGTTAGACATTAGCTCCACTGGATCACTGCTCAGCAGTCGATAATTTTGGGCGTTTGTGCTCAAAGCCAAAGGGCCTAGGCTCGAATCCAGCGAGTAGTAAGTATTGTGGATGCGCACTACTATTTTTTCCCTTACCAAGACAAAACGGCTATCCAGTGCTTTCAGGTTTCTAATAGTGGTCGTCTTACAATGATTTATTGATTCATGACTTCTTCTGCTTAACCATTCCATACAAACTACTTATTTCTTCCAGGATATTATTAATAATAATATATTTTGAAATTCTGTGCGAAATACAAATCAGATCAGAATGATACAAACTGTTATGTAATCATAGTAAATTAAGTGTATACAGTTGTTATTAAACGAAGTGTGTTTTAACTTCATTTATTTCCAAAATTATTTATCTGAGGTAAAAACTACTAATAATAGGGAATATATTCATGACCCTTGAATATCCTCAATGCAGTTGAGTTTACCAACACAAAACAAGCTGAGTATTATGACGAAAGTACGCCATCAGTCATGAAGTGCAATCAGCCAATCGTAAAAAACAATTTTTTATTTCCCTACAGATATCTAAAGAGATTGCTGTTTGTGGTGGTGTTTCGTTCTCTGAGCTGGTTGTTTTGGTTGTGGAGCTTTCATTGTTCTTCTGCTGAACAACATCATCAGCACAAACTTCAGATAGAAGTGAATCTTCGTTTACGTGAACACCACGACAACGCTTCGCTTATATCAATACACACCAACAACCATGGAGATACATTCGATTGGAACAATGTAGAAATACTGGGTATGGGGGGGATAAAGAACACTAGAGAATTTTTACAAGCTTGGCACTCAGGTCAATCAGAAATCAACAAACACATCCACATTGACTCAATTTATCAACCAATCAGAAAAATCATAGGGGACATAGGATCAAGAAACAGATCAAAATGGGGATACAATCAAAACAAAGTTGCAAACAACGACAGGTTAAAGGTCAACAGCAATCGATCAAGATCGAGGTTAGCAGAACAAGCTACAGGTCAAACGTGGAGAAATTCGAATGCTTCACTTCTTCTATCTGAAGTTTGTGCTGATGATGTTGTTCAGAAGAAGAACAATGAAAGCTCCACAACCAAAACAACCAGCTCAGAGAACCAAACCACACCACAATCGTCCACCTGAGCTACAAGTTTTCTTCACCATCTCAGATTCCTCTTTCTCTACGTCTGACAGTATTTTATCACCTGGAGCCATGCTAGCGTTACTGCCGGTCCCCAGCCCAGATAAAGTAGTAAGGTTGGGCATGGGCTTAGCCACTCCATCCCATAGAGATCCAACTCGTTAAGAAACACGCAACCGACAAAAATAATTCGCTGGTCAGCGGCCTATGCTCCATTTAGGGGTAACAGGCAGAAGTAATTAAGTAAGTAAGTAAGTAATTACCGATCCCAGAAACGATTGTTTAACAATTCTTCACTCTTTTTAAAATTGCATAAAATACTACTCAGTTGCTACTTATTTCCCCCATCTGAACAATGTTTAAAATAATTGCTTCGTTCCAAAATGCAGTCCCACATAATCGACCAGCTAGTTTATCATAGTTGGTTGAAGCTGGATCTAACAAGATGGTTAAAAGAATCCGGTTTCAAAATATTGATTGCTCCACACAACATAAAAATCATGAACTGAGAAATGTAAGATCACCATTAGATGACCATTTCGTCCTGAAATGAGGACTTATCAACAGTGTACATCCTCAACTCCTGCTACCCATAGGATTCGAACCAGGGGACCTTCGGTCTTACAGGCAAACTCGCCAACAATCTCCACAACCATTCTGTAACAAACCAGAACATTAACAACAACATAAAGGAAGATCAAGCCTATCGTTTGATCACATAGTCTACTTAATAAAAATATATACACTGATCAATTCACATGTTCACAATCAATAAATGGAAAGGCAGACAGTCTAGAAGAACAGAAAAACCACCCAATGTGTTCTCTTAACTTATTCATCAATTGATTTTCATGTATTGAGGAATGCCATGGGATGGTAGAAATTTGTTGGAATGATTTATTTGCTTTCTTCTATCTCAATAATTAAAAACAAAAAAGTGAAACTATTTATTCCTTTATTCATGTGGTGTAGGTAAAAGAAAGTTGAATGTCCAAAAAACAAGTCACAAGGCAAAAAAAACAGAAATAAAAATTGAACATTGAACGATTTTTAAATTGACCGCCAGTTAAAACAAACTATTAATTTAAACAACACAGCAAACAATGCTTTTAAAGTTGAAATAGTTAGTCGTTATTGATGAAAACAAAAAATTGTACAAATAATTTTGTTTGTTTTTTAAAAATCTAAAGATTGCCATGATGAATTAATGAATAACAACTGAAAGAAGAAGAACTCGAGCTAGACGACCTTGTGCACAATGGTCAAAAATCAATGCGGTTTGTTTGTTTGTTTGTTTGCATAGTGTACTGAGAATTGCACTGATTGGTTGATTTGAAATCAAAAATTTTATACTTTGTACATTGATTGACAAAGCGTTGATTATATTGTTATGATTGGTTTAAATTCATTGTATTGTATAGTTAGTTGGGTTGTATTTCATTCTCTTAACATAAAATCCACGCCCAGTATCATGTACCGGGTTAATGTGGCGTAAACTAAGAACTCGTGATGAACCGAATACTTCTCTATCCTTAAGTCTAATACTGTCGTATAACACACTTTAAGGAGGTTCCTCACCAGCTGTTATTAACGTAGAGGAGCATCGTTTTTGCTTGGCCTTATGGCTCAGTCTCCTTAGGAACTCCTCCTTGATGAGGGATAAGGACGCCCCAGTGTCTAACAGTATTTCAGTCACTACTCCTTGTACTGTACCTTTTAGTGTGATAGAGCCGATTTGATTAACATGACAGGAAGATAAATAGTAACGGCATGGCTCACCTGGATTACGGGATCGATTGTGGCCACATCTTTAAGCGTTTCTTCCAAACCTCCTGCAATAGATACATTCCGTCTGAAGACCGTGGTAGTTGTTATATGCTGGTCGTCTGTTCCACGTCCAGTTTGACCGCTCACGATAAATACCTCGGCTGGAAATGTGTGCAACAGATGTTGCCCTCGAGGAACAATCCAACTGACTGGTTTCCACAATCATCACAGAATGTCGATGGACTTCTGATGGGTTTGACATTTTGTCTGCCGTAATAAATCGGAGTGACGATCTCTTCAAATTGGCGATATTGGCCGGTGGTATTCGAAGCAGATGTTCTCTTAGTGGTCCATGCCCCACCGCTTCAACGCAACGGGAGCGTACCAGTTTGTTCTGTTTTGCTGTTCTTCTATTCTTGAACGGCATTCATAGTATCAACAGAGATCTATTCCTTGTGATGGAGCTTCTTGTGTTCAAGAATTGCATGACATTATTGAATTCCTGCTTGTTTGATCCTTTTCAATTGTTCTCTATGGTA